AATAAGTTGAAGTGAAACAAACGTATATTTATTGTATTTCATTAGGTCTGTTTTTTTATTGCTACACTTTCTGAACTGGTATTCACACAGTGTAATAAGTTGAAGTGAAGCAAATACACATTTGTTTCACTTAACTTATTGCACCGATTCATGCAGCAATAAAAAGAGACCTATTATTACATACAGTATAATCATACCTAATAGCGACAGTGAACTTTTTTTGTGGCTGCAATTTTTAGTACGCATGTATCGGTATGTACACTTAGGGGCTTCGTACAATAAAAGGAAAGGCTTAAACACAATAGGCACAAGCAATAGGCAACGTGGGATATAATATCGAACTTACACACCAAAGCTCTGATTGGATGGCTCGTTATTCCCTGTTGCCTATTGTATTTAAGCTTTTATATTCGTATATATAATCAAGCCTTATATTTAAGGCTTTCTTAAATTTATCTTTAGATACTCTATGAATTATTTCATTGGCTGCTGAGCATCTAATGATAAATTTAAGGAAGCCTTAAGTATAAAGTTTGACTATGAATACGAGCTGGTATACATAGTCAGTTCTTATTTCAAGATCGTCTTAAGACTACGTTTCAAAACTTCCTTTCCGAAGAAAATTTCATTCGAAATAGTACACGTGATGTATACTGTAGCATATAAAGTAAAATCTGAATTTTTTAAAATATTAGGTGTTGGAATTAATTCGTAGCGTTTTACAAGTGATGGGAAGTACTTTCATTAATGTATTTTTTAATGCTCATGTGAAATAAATAACATTCTTTCATTTAAAAACGCTACGAATTAATTCCAAAACCTAATATATTAATTTATTTTTATGCACATTTCATCAATACTCTTATTTCTTTTCAACAGATTTACTTAATAATTGCATTTAAATCAATTAATTTGATTAAAAACTGCTTAGTAATGTGAATTTGTCACTGGCCCGTACCGCTTACCGCGCTAATAATGTAATAGAAGATTTAGAAGAAAAGAAGCAAGCGGTTTGCGTGATTCCTATAGCTACCTAATTTCTGTATCGCGTATCGCGTACCGCGCTACATGTAATCACACCCTTAAGGTGAAATCACACGGTCCGGAATAGGACTGTGGAATACAGAATGTATCATTAAAGCAACCAATCAGCGCTATTCCGCACTTTTCCATCATGCAAGTTTTGTGTGCTATGTTCACATGATGCATCAAAGATATATTCAGCGTGAATATAATTTAAAAACTATTAAAAACTTCATGTTAATAATTTGCTTATTAAAATGAAATATAATTTTTCAAATTGTAAAAACAATTATCACTGTTGTAGTATTTAATGTTTTACAATTAATATTTATAATCTCAACAACAAACAATTTTTTGAACTGCTTTAATGCATTTACTTTAATTCATTTTTCCGCTTCGTATGAATATACTGAGTGATTGTTTCAATGATGTATTCTCCATTCCGCAGTCCTATTCCGCACTGTGTGATTTCACCCTTAGATATCAAATTGTGATTTTAAGGCATCGCCTCTCATAGTAAAGACTGGGAAGTTCAAATTTGACGCGGAAGTTGCTTTTCATAGTAAGAAAAGTTTAAATTCATCAAATATTATGTTGAGAATTGATAGAGAGCCGGAAAAAATCTTAAATGGAGGAAAAAGGAATGAAGTGTTGTTTTTTGATGATTTGAGGTAACGAGAATTTTTATGTTGGAAATAGAGATACAAAACGGTCCAAATAAATGTTTACAATTATTAATTTCAATTTGTTTATTTAAACCCTGTCTTCGTTTTTTTAATTATCTAAATCATTTCAGATATTAATCTATTATTATAAAAGGATTTATTATCTCAAATTTTAACATCCTTCTAATTAAAATTGTGATAGGATAAAGTAATTTTATGTATTTTTTTTTTAAATATTTTCATGTTTTATTTTATTATAAGATTGCATATGTAGTAGCTAATTTTATATTATAATTTAAATTTTATTTTTAATAAAGACCCGATCGGTATCGAAACGTCTGTATTGTTTATATTTAAAATGTTGATTAGATATTATTTTTTGAATATTAAAAGTTATTGTTTCGGCTCGTAGCCCTTTTATTTTATTATTGTTTAATTTTATTTTTATTGAGCCAGATTATTATTTATACGTTAAAATATAAATATGCAACTGACATGATACGCAAATTATAGAACTATGAACACTATGAATTTATATAAGTAAATAATCATGGTTTCCTTATATTTGATACAGAGATTATTTTATAACAGCATTTACATGTATATATAACATTGGATTACAAAATATAATTGATAAATCTTAATTCTAATATAGTATACTTATGAATAGATAAACACACACACACACACAGAGAGAGAGCACACATATGCGTGCGCGCGCGTATACATACACGTACATACACATACCCACACGCGCACGCACGCGCGCACGCACGCACGCACGCACGC